GGAAAACAGGTTTATTTCACAAGGTTTACATCCCTTTCACAAGTTTCTTTGGCCTAATCAACATAACTTTAACAATTCAAATAACAGATACCCTCAACCTTTTAAATTGAACCATTTTATACACAGGAGAGTATATAGTACTGATGTTGTGAATCTGATAAGTCTAAGTTACAGAGTTTGAGGTTTAAGATTGACATACAAATCATGAAGAAAACAAAAGTGATGATTTGAAATCAGGCAATGAACATACCGTAGAAACCATGCCATCAGCCCATGTAACTTCAATATCCCCATTCTTAAGACCAGTTATATTTCCAACCCAAGAAAGATCTGAGAAGTCCACACAAGCTTCATCGCTAGATGGATCTTCTTTTTTCTTACAAGCAGATCTAAGCTCACTTGGAATATCTTGCTGCTTTGGTTCCTCATCAAAGTCTGTTCCTGAAGCAGTTTGAGCAGAAAAAAAAACTGGCAACAGTCTTACAACAACATCCCCATAACAGTAATCATAATCCGGATGCCCCTCAAGCTCATAGACACTCACAACTTCCTCCTTGTCAAACTCTCTAGGATCTTCCGCCCTGGAAATTGGCTTTAACCACCTTACACAAGCTGTTCGCTCCTTGGCATTGACACTTTTCACAAGCCCAACACGTCTATCTTCACCAGCATCGTCACCATCATCAGATGCCTTCTCCACCACGTACTGTTCAGCAACAAATTCGTGATCACCAGGACTATCAAGTGGAATTAAATTTGTTGAGTCCAGCTTCCATTCTGTTGTACCATCCTGCCATGCCACATCAACTTTTGTCCTGGTATTCACAATCAAAAAGGATCTTTGAAAACTTTCTTCCTTCCGCACCTTCTTGTCTCTCCTAACCACAACTTTGCGGATCTTTTTGCGATGAAGAGGCCAAGTTTCATTGACAGGCTCCTTTGAAACTGACAATGAACTACAGCAGGAACTAGAATCAATAGATGTATTCATTCCAGTATTTTCATTGTTTCCATCTAATACTGACACTGGATCAAGATCCATGGATTCATTATTTCGATTTGATTCTTCTAGTGCACTCTCTTCTGAATCGCACCCACTACCTATTTGAGCAGATTCTAACTCACCGTTTACAGAATCATGAAGTTCTAATTTTGACAAACCCTTGTCTAAGGGAATGGAAGATGATGACACTGATGGGGGGAAAAGACACCAATCACCCAATTGCCAATTTGCATGTGTAAAGCAAGACAACAGTTTCAAGTTCTTTGGAATCTGCTCTTTAGCAGGGGCAATAGAAGAATCTGGCCCACAGCCAGCAGAGGCTATCCAATAGATTAATACTGATGCAACTGTAACCTTGGTAACAGTACCTTCCAGACGATTAGGTTTCCACAAGCCAGATAGCCATCTAGAATTCTTGAAAACTGATGATGACCTTGCCTTCACACGCTGCCCTGGGTAGTAAGGGAAATGCACATCTTCAAGCATATTCTTGGAAACTGGTTTGAGATCCATTGGTTCTGCTCTCATAACTTTACACACAGAACCATCATCAAACAAAACTGTCACATTATCATAAACATCATCAATTCTACCTAGCCAGGGACCAAGGACCACATAATCACCCACAGTGAACTCCCTCACACGTTTTAAGTTGTTAGATGATATATCTTTTATGACTGACCCATCAGGAGCTAACAAATCAACAGAGATATTGACATCCACCACAACACCAACTTGCCCAGTTGGGTCAGAAGCAGCAGCAACAAAATCCCCATGTAAGAATCCTCGATCAACAACTGATAAATCACTAATATTTTGGGTTGACTCAGTTTCATCAATCCAAAGTACTCGAACCTGGTCAGCAGGAAGGGGACCGCTCTTATCATTACCACCACTTTTGTTCTTGTCACCATTCCCATGAGTAGTATTATCGTTACGAGCTTCTTCCTCATTTTCACCATCATCATCATCATCATCATCATCGTTGTCGTCATCTTCATCATCATCCTCATCATCAGTGATGCTGCTATCAGAATCTGAATCACCGGCAACTTCAGTCACAATCCCAATCATACCACTCTTGCTCCTCACAACGTCTTGCCTATAGATATATGGGGTATTGTTAATGTTACTGACAACCTCACTCAACTTTTTAACTTCATTGCTTTCATTATTTACATTTGGATCAGATAGAACTGCACTTGTTGAACAATCAACCTGACTCAAAGAATTATTATCACGGTCAAGAGTAGTGGGCTCATCCTCTTTAAAAACGGAGTCATGCTGCTTAGTTCCCATCCAAAAATCTGAGAACACACGCTAAATGTGGTCTTATTGTCCAGCTGATATAACCAAAAAAGCGACAAAAATTTGAGATTTATCATCTTCTTAAGAGAAAGGAAACACCTAGCTAAATTTTTCGTACTTAAATAATCATAAAGCTAAACTCATGATTTCCCTCTTCATAAAGCTTCTGGGAAAATAAAGAGTTATGTGGATTACTACTTAACCAGCAAACTGAGTTACTTTTCTAAGTTCTTCATAAAAAAAATATATACGTACAAAAGATTAACACTTAATGCCTGTTAATTGATTATGCCCCAGATGGATACTAACAAAATACTTCTAAAAGTCTCAACCCCAAAAATAAATAATTGAAAAAACATAGATGCAAATACTTGATCTTCATCCAACATAAGAAACTGAAGAGTTAACCTCAAAATCAAATCACGTCAAGCTATAAAAAATTTACAAACACATCCAAAGGTGAAAATCATCAGATATGAACGTGGAACCCAACGGTCCAACCGGATTCAATAAGATAGAGGGTGGGTATTGGATAAATAGAAAAAGTAATCTTATCAATAAAATCGCAGCTAAGAAACCCTCGAGCAGCTCACATTTAGCAGACGAGCCAAGCACTCGATTTTAAATATAAAGAAACAATGGAAAAACATTATCTGCAAAAATCCGCATACAATAATGTCTCCATTAGATTACATATTTTTTTTATATCATAGATTTCAATCCAACCCAATCGAGATTGAAATCACTTGATAAAAAGGAAAACGATTAATCAAAAAATACAAAAAAAGGAGCTTGGAGCTATATGTAATTAGAGGATTGAAGGAAGGGGTTATGCGAAAATTACCTAATGAAAATCTGAGAGTTTGAGCAGAGAAAAACAGAGATGAGTCTGATAAAGGAAGAAGAAGAAGACGACGAACAGAGAAGAGAAAAAGCTTTGTGATTTTTTGAACGGAGAGGGGCTCCCAGGGTATTGTGATTTGTCGTGGAGAATATAATGCAGAGGGCGGAGCTGGAAGCGGCATAAGGGTGGTTTCGTAATTTGATTGTTGGTGATTTTAGATACGCCCTTCCATTTAAAAATAATTATGATATTTAATTAGTGTTCACTCAAAGATTAATTTTAAAAAATAAAAATAAAATTATTTGAGAGAGGTGGTATAATGGGATTCGAACTTATTTTTCATTCTCTATTTATATATATTTTTTCTATATTCAATATAACAATGAGTTGACAAAGGAGCAAAAAAATTCACTAAATATTTTCAATTAAAATTTTAAAGATAAATACTTGCCACCATTGGATGTGAGGAACATACCAATAGTTAATATTGTAAAAATAAAGAGATTATAGAATACTATGATTCTACGGTGTTGTACACATGTTAGATATTTATAGATACTATTCTCTAAAAAGGGAGAAAATAAACCCTGTCATAAACTCATATTATAACATTTGTACAAAATGTACCACGTGACCGTACTACCGTAGTATTATATAATTTCTCGCAAAAGTAGGGGTATAAGTGGTATATTTGGCCTTTTTTTTTCTTCACTCTGATTGTTCCTTTCGTTCAAGCCTAAAATTTGTTCAAATTCTTAATTGATTTTAAATATGATTTATAGGTGAAAGACTTTAAGCAAAGAAATAGACTGTGCTTTCTTGGGCCCCGGAAATTGGTATTAGAGTTTGAAGGGCAAGGCAAGGTAGCCTTTTCCCTCAAGGCAGTATAAAGCCTTTCAAAGTTAGCTTTGGACTGTTTTAAGTCAATACGTCATACTTAGACAAACATATTACAATTCTCTTTTTACAATTAAAAGTTTGGAGTAGCTAACGGGTATAACCTTATGAAAATGCCTTAAGTTGCAGGTTAGTGATTTCAAGTTTGAACCCCCATGACAAATTAATAGTGTGTGTGAGAAATTATTTCCCCCCTCCTCTTATAATTTATATTATTGTTTGTACTAAAAAAAAAGAGTCAAAATTTAGAGTGAAAAAAAGCTTTTATTTTCGCTATTATTTAAAAGTTTCATAAAATGTATATATGAAATTGCATTAAAATCACCCCAACCATATTATTTTTTGTTATAATACAACAAGCGTCCATAAAATATGAACTTAGGATATCCTCAAAATCAATGGAAAACAAATCTCTATTTTTTTGGGGATAAAAAACCACTTTACTCTTTATTTATCTCTCGTGCCCTTAATTTACCAAAAAAAATTTTTTTTAGAGATAATTTTATTCTCACATGATAATTCATGGGACAAAATGATAGGACTCATAGTGAAGACGTCATTAGTTAACGTATGATCAAACGGTCAATTTAACATAAGGCTTTAAATTGGTCAGATTTAAAAATCATAGTGTGTAGAGTAGATCGATGAAATTGAAATTCGGGGCCCATATTAAGTGGGTGTTTTGATGTTAGCCCTTATATTTTCTACATAATTAAATGTCATCAAAGCAAAATAATAAAAAAATCAAGCAGAACAATGGGCCTGAAGCCTAGGCCCAAAACATGAGCGGTACATGTAGTTAAAAGACCCGGGTAGATTTAGACGGTGTAGATCGATCAACTCATATATTCACAACGACGTCGTAACGGAGCCCGGGACAACGTCGAAACGCGGCATTATATCGCTCCCCCCACTGAAGCAAATAAACGGAAAACTGAACCGGAGAAGATGATTGTCTGCGTCGCCGTCGTCGGCCACCAGAACAACCCACTCTACATTCAAAGCTTCACCGACGCCGATGACGCCCTCAAGCTCCACCACATCGTGCACTGCTCCCTCGACGTCGTCGACGAGCGAGGTAAAACAAAAATTCGGATCTGGGTCTCTTTTACATTTTGAAAATTTCAGTTCTGGGTTCTGGTAAATAGTTATGAATTGGGTGCTTTTAGGATTTTGAAATGCACGAAACACTGAAATCATATGTGTATGATGATATTGCTGAATGAAAAACTTTCTTGGGTCTGCTTTATTCAGCTCAAAATTAGGATTTTGATGTTTGGGGTTTTTGTATTGAAGTTTGGATTCAAGTATGTTTGTGAATTTGGGTATGATTTTGCAGTGAACAATCCTAAAAAGGCTGGACCGACCTTGAATGAGACATTCTTGGGTCTGCTTTATCCAACTGAAAATTACAAAGTGTGAGTATTTTTTTTTCTTAGTACCAGTATATTGCGTTATGTTGGTCTTACATGGTGATATTGTTTGCAGGTATGGCTATTTAACCAATACGAAGGTGAAGTTTATCTTGGTAACTACTGATCTTGATGTCAAGGATGCGGATGTTAGAAATGTGAGTATGGCTCTGAGTTTTGGACCTTCCTAAAGAACTCATTATGCAAAAAATTAAACATGATGCGGCATTTACTCAGCAATATTTCATCAATTTTACGACATCATATTTAAGTTATTAGCCTAGTGAACAGAGGTTTTCTAGCATAAATTGGTTTCTTAGCTGATTATCTGAATGTTGTTCTTAAGTTTATGTGCATCCTTCTGAAACAAGTTTTATTTATTTTGTTTTATGGGGAAATGACTTAAAATAGGAAGCGAATGATGCAAGTTTTATTGGAAGAAATGGAACCCCGAATATTATTTAGGGCATTTGAGCTTAGGAGGATTGTGTAGATTTAAAGGGAGTTGACTGATGAGTTATGTTACTTTTTTACTTTTTCATTGAGCACAAATGCAAGATTGGTTTTGTCATCTGAGTGGCAAATAGATATTATAGATTTCATCCTTCTGTTCCAGTCTGGTGATGTGAAAAGGAAGTGACGTTATGCTGCTTAACTAAAACTGCATACCTTTACTTTCAGCTACATTATACAGAGTTGTTTATTGCATTAATTAAATAAGATTTAAATGCCACCTTGAAAATCATAAAACCAGTCCATGAGGATGCAACTAACAGGTATGGCAACCAGTCCTTGTGCTAAAGTAACCTGACTAGATAGTTGAAAATATCTAATATAATGTGAACTTCTAGAGTGATTGAGATAGAATCTATTTTGAAAGATTGAAAGAGCTCTTGATCGACCTTTGTCCTTGCTTAACCTTCGTGAGCATGAATTAGATATAATATTGAGGCAGGAGTTCTATTTGCATGCATTTAAAGCATCCCTTGATAAGAAATGCTTAATCCCGTCATGATTTACTTATTTCGATAACTGTAGGGCAGATGTTATATTTTTTGAAAGTAAGCATGCTATAATTGTTTGGATTGCTCCATTTTTCTAAATTCGTTTTGCTTCCTTGTCCTTCCACGATGCTCTCTTTAGTGATTGTGGTCTATATATGCAACCAAGTTTAGATAAGCCCTCTGATTGGTTCGTTTGTCGTATAGTTTTTCAGGAGATTTCATGCTGCTTATGTGGATGCAATTTCAAACCCATTTCATGAGCCAGGTAAAAAGATAACCTCAAAAACTTTTGCAGAAAGGGTGAGCACCATCGTTAAGTCGTTTGGCTTAAGTTCAACTGGGTGAATGATCTCGACTGGAGTGTAACTGAACTTCAGAGTCGGTCTTTATCGAACTGGTGGAATTCATTGCCTTTTCTCACCTACGAAGTGGAATTACATAAGCTCATATGTTTTGTATCCCAAAAGACATTAGAATTAGAGATTGCATCCCTTCGGTCCTACTAGAGATGGAACCAATATCGTGATTCTTCCTTTCCAATCAGAAACATTGTAAAGTTTGTAAAATTTGGCTCCGCTGGGTCAGTGAATGCCAGAGATGTAAGGATTTGATATGCTTCTGATCATTCCCAGGGAGTCATATCTGTCAACATTTTTTTTGTGCAACTTAAAACTAGATTAATTTTGATAATGTGAGATTGTAAATCGCAATGACTTGAGAAGTGTTGCCTTGATTAAGGCTTTCTTCATCTTTCTTCTCTTTTCGGCAAGTTCTCTTCATCCTTCTTTAAAAATTGGCATACAAATGAAAATAATATTTCCATCCCTAAACGCACATATAAAAAATGAAAAGGAAAGAAAATGGGTTACAAAACATCTGCCCCAAAAACAAGTTGAACAGAGTACCCAGAAAATGGGGGTAGGGGATATTTTCAATCTCCTGGCATGAAAAGGATCGTTTATAGTTCCATCGTGCATCAAATTCAAATTCCATAGTTCCCATAGAATTTCCTAACATACCCATGACCAAACATACTTGCTAGCAATATGCAATTCATCAATTGTCAAATTACAGAGAACACAAGAACGAACAAACGAGCATGCATGAGGGCACTCCTAAGGGAACCTGATAACATGTTCAATGTCTGGTGAAAATGTAAAATATTCTATGTTCCTGTCATATCTGAGAAAAAGAAACAAGCAGGCCTCAAAATATGATCGCAACAGATGTCGCTCTGGCTCAACACAATAAATCTATAACATCAAATGGAAACATCCACTATCCCAAGTCAATAAGACTGGAAGCTAAAAATATCCTTGACAAGCATATCAATGCACGGATTTTTGCGAGCGTTCACAGGACAAGTAGATGCCCTCTCAGTATACAACTGATTCAAAACTCGTCATCATCCTCCTCAGCTATATGCTTTGCAAGCTCTTGCTCCTGTTGTTGTCTCTCCCTCCTCTTCTCAGCACTTTCTTTCTCCTTGTGAGAGTTTGGTGGGAACCGAAGTGCTCGAACTGCGTCATTATGCAAATTGAGGCAAAACGCAATCCTTGTGTCAAATGCAGCTTGGGGCTCATTAGTGGAGTAGATATCCCCAGTTTCCTTTGACACCATCCATCCATTTGTATGATCCAGGGTGGCATCAATTGCACCATCACGGATTGCCTTGGCAACAATACTTTCAGCATCAGCAACAGGATTTGGAGAGTCCAATCTCAACTTTTTAGCAACATCAACCAGAGAAATACGAGAATAAGAGATACTAATGTTACGCAACCCAGTTCTTATGACATTATGTCGCAGCCTAACAATCAAATTGTGGGTTCGGTCTGAATTGAATATATTTGCGAACTTCTCGGCAATATTTCTGAACAGCTCCAAGTCACCAATTCTCACAGCCTGAAAACAAAAATTGTCTCAATCAAAACCAGCAGTTAGAAAAGGCTCAGGGGCCTACTGATTCCAAGAAGGCCATCCCAGCCTCATCCTAGGAGTTATAAAATACTGCATTATTATCTCCGATATTCAGCAGAAAGTACAGTCATTACTCTCAAACTTGGTAAGACAGTAAAGCCACACAATTAAGTAATTGAGTTTGGCTTTTCCACTAGAAAAGACAGGCAATTAAAATAATTCTCCTTTGTCAACCCTTGTTCTTTCCAGGAGAAGTAAAGTTCAGGGTTCAAGGTTTGAGAATTTCAGACTTACATTTGTTAGCTCAAAGTACGGCCTCAAAGCCTTCTCCATGCCTTTTTGCATAAACACAGTTCTCTCAGGGATTTCCCCAAGCAATAAGCGTACAATAATTGCCCACTTGTTGCATTGAATTCGAAAACCAAGGGCAGCTATAGGGGCTTTCCTGGCAGCTTGCAGGAGGGACTCCTTTGCATCGGTGTACTCCAACTGAATTGTTCTGATCTTCCCTAGGTAAAAGAGATACCGGCAGAACTGCAAGAGAACATTGTCAGAATCAGAATATGCATCCTATAATTGGACAGAAAGGAACCACCACCGAGGAAATATATGTTTTTTTTTTGCCTCATATAGATTATCTAGCACACTGTTTTAGATCAAGCTAATTTGACTCTATGAGAACAGCTGGTGGTAAATCAACTTACATCCCAAGGGACTGTCCTGGCTTAAGATTGAAACAAAAGAAGAAAAAAAATTCTGAAATATAGACTCAAAGCTCACACAATATAATTTATTCCTAAGAGAACAGAAATCACTAAAGTTCTCTTAAAACTTTGCTTATTCCTAAGAGAACAGGAACTGCAACATGCTAACATTGAGGAGAAGTCCTTGATAGTCAGTTGTTGATTGGCAGTGGAAGAATGCAAAATGCGAGATAGACCAGTGCATCATTACAATATGTTTAAAAAAAATTAAGAAACAAAAAAGGTTGTAGGAATAAAATCCATTGATAATAAGCATGATATTGACAATTGAAGAAAGCAAAGACATGAGATAGACCAGCATGTCATTACAATAGACTACACAGAAGCCTAGAAGTCGGTTATATACATGCAAGAACATAACTTAGCCTTCCAAAAAAGGATGAACCATACATCTACATTTACACATGATGGTGATCCTAGATAGACAGTTTATGGCTAGTAGAGTGAAATAATTAAGAATTACCTGCTGGTTTGAGTGAGCCTCAAATCGAGGAGCCTTGGACCTCAGTTTCTCTGCCTGATCATACAGGTTATAGTGGAGGTAATTGCGAAGCAGAAGGTTGAGAAGTGTTTCCTGCATCACATTGTTTTACACATGTAAGAAACCGGTAAAACAGACACAATTGCTCATAATATTACGATTTACCTGACCCAGCTCATCATGGCGCAAAGTTGCAATCCGGTGAAGATTAAGGAGATTTCTGTTAATGAATGACTGAATAAATTAGTTTTAAGGGAATAAGTGAAATTAAAAAAAAATAAAATTCAATCAGACCTTTCCGTAGTACAAAGACATTCTTACGTCAAAAGAACACACAGACAAACACAACTCACTAAAAAGAATCTTTAAATCGTGATATCATACAACTCACCCTCTAATCTCTGCAAGATCACCAGTCAGTTCATAGCTAAGGGAGTAATAGAAGTATAGTCTGGATGCCAGAACATCGATGGTTCTCCTATTGAGGTTCTTAATTCGAGCAATGCTTGCCGAGGCACAAGCTTTAGCCTAAAAAACGGCAATGCAACATTATTACAAACATGGGAACTTCAATTTATTTTATTTTATTTAAGTATAAGACCCACATGTAATGACAAGTACAATGCTTCACCTCATTGTATTTTTTCTGATCAATCAGAAAAATGAGCACAAGCAAGTAGGAGTAAATCTCTAGCTCTGGCAAGGCATGCTTTGAGGAAACTTGGGTAGCAGATGTTGCAGTATCAACGTCCATGTCATGTTCATCGTCCTGTGTAACCAATGTTTCACATTCCCAGTGCACAAAAGTAAAAAAGAACATTGACTATGCAAGCTTAAATCCAAAATTCAATAAGGTAGATCCAAAATCACCCTTGGAAGATACGAGGATAGCCGGCTGTGAACCTCAGATCCCGGCGAAAGGGCAAAATTGAGGAATGCTGAGAGCACAGAAACCTTCAGCTTCCGCCTCAACACCATGGTTAGCCTAACGGCACGCACAATTCGCCGAACCTCCCGAGTATATGCAGCAGTCTCAAGGAGTGAAGCAATCTCCTTCAAATCTATAAAAAAACCAGTAAAGAGTGAACATCTAAAGTCAAATCCCGCATAACCAATTTGATAAAGTACCACTAACTTAGTTAAACTTCAGAAACAATGTAGGAAAATGAAAATTAGGGTTTTAATAGAAAAGGGATATATGAATGTAGATGGAAAACTTACTATGAAGAGTTGAAGGAGAAGTAGAAGAAGCTGAATTAGAAGGAATAGAAGGCACTGGGACCTCTTTCATCTCCACGTCTTGAGTCATCTTGAAGAGACTGTACCCAGATTACAGAGAACAAAATACAATCAAATGCTGAACGAAGATGAAAGCGAAAAAGTTGAAATTGATTTGTAATTAAGACGAAATTACCTTGATTTTGGTTGTAGCCCGGTGCTGATCTGAATTGGCGATGGAGGAACTAGGGTTTTGCTACGTTTCCTCCCCTGCAATTTTAAGCGAAAGAGAGATGGAGAGAACGAAGAAGAGTGAGAGAGAGGAAATGAAGGGAAAGGCCGAAGTTCATACGGCGTCGCTTTTTCTGTTTTTTGAAAGAAAAAAAATCTGATAGGTTCACTTTACGTAGTGCTATAGGTTGGATTGGCCCAAGAAACCACAAGGCCCAATCCAAACAGCCTTTTAAACAACACAAGGATGGAGGAAAGAACGTAACCCAAAAAAAAGATGGGAGGAAACAAAGCAATACGCATGTGAATCGATTGGCTAGAGCCTCTATTCATGCATTTCATGTCCTGCGTTTGAATTTTTAATACTTCTTTTATTTTATGCACGGAATACTATGCACTTGATGTCTTGTATTCAAATTTCTGACCGTTTCTTTTTTGGTTTCATGCATCACACTATCAAAATTTAGCTTCATTAAGAAGGGTTTCATTTGTCGAAAATATACAAGTTCAGGTTTTAACATAAAACCCTTCACTTTCGCTTTCGCACCGCCATTAGTTATTATTGCTAATTAAATATGTTATGAAAAATTGTTTATAATGACATAAATAAGAGTATATTTGGCAATGAGAAAACCATTCACGAAACATGTTCACAAGTCAGTACATGTTAAATCTTATTTGTTGCTACAAGAAGCTTCCAGATTTTTTTGTTATGAAATAAAATTAGTGTCTCATTGCATTAAGAGATGCTTAGCTTCCCACAATCAAAATCAGCCTTCTTCAACAGCAGCAGAACCAGGGAAGGAGCCAAGAACTTGTTCAAGAATGTCATAATTTTTCCCTCACTCCCTTGTAGAAAACCAACCACATAACCTGTGATAATCAGATCAAAGCTTCTCCACTTCCTTTCATTGGCATACTTTTTCAACCCCACCTCAATCTTCTTGTGTTCCTGCATTCCTTCTTCACTTTTATCTTCCATTCCTTGCCTTGAGCTTTTCAACAAGGCCTCACCAAGACACCTTGCCAATACAACGCCGTCTTCTAACGCAGAGCAGCTGCCTTGGCCAATGTCCGGTGTCATGGGGTGCAGTGCATCTCCGGCTACACAAACATTGCCTTTGCTAATGTTTCCCCACAGAAGCTCCCATGGATGCCTATATCTCAATGGTGAGGATATAAAAGCATCCAACTCAGTGTTTTCTATGACAGCTCTTACTTTATCAGGTGTCTTTCCAAGCTTGCTTAAGATATGTTGCTTCAGCTAGCCGGGTTCTCTTCTAGCTCTTTCTCTACAAGACATGAAGACTAAACAAAACAAAACAAATGTGACATAAACATATTTTGGATGGTGCATTTACTAGCAGCAAAAACACATTCATATCTGAATTGAAAAGCAAAAAAAAAAAAAAAAAAAAAAAAAACAAAACTTACTTCAAGTTGTAAGAGCAACATATTTTGAAACAGTTTATCACTGTTGTTTTGTTATTTGTATTGTGATTGAGAGCTGAAAACCATTGATTCTGAAGCATATGGAAGAAAAAGTCTCTGTGGAAGCAAAAGAAAAGGTTCCAAAATTGGTATGGAAGGCTTACCTTGGCTGGAGGGAACCCAAGTGTAATACCAGTAAACAGTTTTATCATCACAAGGGATGACACCAGATCTAATACCATTCCCAAAGAACTGCATGAAAATGGGATCAAAACCATGAGGGCTCTTGAAGTCGGTACGACCTCTAATAGCAGATCTCCCTGTCAATGCCGGCTGCTTCAAGCCAAGCCATTTCGCAACCACTGAGTTCACTCCATCACACCCAACCAAGACCTATTCAATCAAGGCCTTGGTGAGTGATTAGAAATTAAAGATACAGATACTTATAACCGAAAGGATTAGAACATATATCCAACCTAAAACCAATTGATAACGGTGGATGGAGAGGCGGCCTAAGACATTATATATAATAAGGCAAGGCTTTGCATTCTCTCAACAACAAGAACTTCATGTAGTTAATGGTGTACAATGTGCAGATATCAAACAGATAGTCCCTAGCAAGGTTGAGATGTTCTTATGCACCAGATGCTAAAATTTATAAATATGAAAAGGTGTTAAAATTTGAACAATCAACTTTTCATCTGATTAGTCTACCTTGGCTTTGAGGATGGTTCCATCAGCAAGATGAACCAGCTTAAAGTAGCCCGATTCGTCAATTGAAACCACCTTGGATGAGAACCTGATGGTGCCACTAGGGAGCTCATTTGCAAGAGCTTCCAACAAGAAGTTCCTTTTCACACATCGAAATTCATGATGTCCGCTGCTCATCAGTTAAACTCACAAATTCTCAATCATCTGAGCATGCTCAAACTGAATGTTCATAGTCTTGTCATAAGTGATTTTCAATAGAGGGTAGAAATAAAAAAAACCTGGAAAACAATATTTGGGGGTCGAAAAGTATGCAAAAATGAGATGCAGCAACTGGAGGATTATAAGCTATTGAGGAACTGCTCTACTGTTAAACTTACTTTTTTCCCCTGGCCTTAAATGACATTTCAAATATTGGAAGCCCAGAAATCGTTGAGGAAGTCACATTCCTGTATTCAAAACTCTGCACTCAGTTTCATGTGTGCATGTAAGCAAGTAACTACTAGCTGAAAAAAAAATTTATACATACACACACACACAGCAATTGTCCAGAAATTTATCAAGCAAAAGGGGTATATCTAACTCAGTTTATTTTTTTGCTGTGTTGTCAAAGTGGTCAAACATTGAAACATAATTTGACACAATAACATGTCAAATTGTCCAAAACGGTGACATAATGTACCCATGAAGTGTCTCATGTTGTCAGCGAAGAGTATCACCAATACTAAGGGCATCTAATGCCTTCCATGCATTTGTCCATGTTGAGAATGCAAACCCTGTTGTCCTCAAACTATCCGATGATTCCAACACTAAGCTTCGGATGCCAAGCCAGCAGCCAAAAGAATTTGAATTTTGCTTGCTGCTTAGAGTCATAGTGAACTACATACTTACAATCATAACTTGTTTTAGCAGTACTAAAACGCACAGAGACATGCACAGATGAGAGAGAGAGAACCTATGAAGTCCTAAGGATGTTGCAAGGCCAGCAATTCCAGCTCCTACAATCACAACTTGTGCTTCTGCTTCTACTTCCATGAATGATATTTGAGGCTTTTACTTTGGTTTTATTGGAAACAGACTCGCAGAACAAAGATATGGACATAGAAGGATGAGATGGGTATTTATATTATATTTCGCAGCAGCAACTGGATAGTGCTACACTGGGAGTACAGTTTAGACGACGATGGGGATGACGTTCACACTAAAGGCAAGTGACAAAAGCCAATGTTCAATCTGATCTACCTTTTCTTATCTATTATTGAAGCACGAAACCCCAATAATGCCACCAAATGCTTTGTACTGTTTATTTAGCAGCCATGTTTTCTTTTTAGCAGCTATCTTTGAGCACTAGGAAAGTGCAATATTGTTTGTTGGATTGATTGGTATAAGCCGTCTTACACCAAATCTTAATCTAATGGCGTTTCTCTTTTCAACGTAAAAAGATGTCTCAAGTTCGAATCTTGTTTCCCCTTACAGAAACTCCATACAAATTACAAAATGACAAAAGAAAGTTCTTGCACTAATATGATTGACATATAAGGTTACACGCAAATCACTATTATATATGCAGAGGAAGTATCATTGCATTTAAGAGATGCTGAGCTTCCCACAATCAAAATCTGACTTCTTCAACAACAAACCAGCCAGGATTGGAGAAAAAAATTTGTCCCTGAAGAAGTTCATAAATTTTCCATTACTCTCTTGTAAGAAACCAACCACTCTAGATGTACTAATCAGATCAAAGCTTCTCCATCTCCTCTCATTGGCATACTTGTTCAACCCCATCTCAATCCTCTCATACTCTTCCTTTCCTTCTTCACCCTCCTTATCTTTTCTTTCTCCCCCTGAGTTCTTCAACAAGGCCTCACCAAGACACCTTGCCAATACAACACTGTCTTCTAATGCAGCGCAGCCGCCTTGGCCAATGTCTGGGGTCATAGGGTGGAGCGCGTCTCCTGCGACACAAGCATTGCCTTTGCTGATGTTTCCCCAAAGAAGCTCCCAAGGATGCCTATATCTCAATGGAGAGGATATAAAAGCATCCAATTCGGTGTTTTCTACCACAGCTTTTACTTTATCAGGTATCTTTCCAAGCTTGCTTAACATATATTGCTTCAGTTGAGCTGGGTACTCTTCTAGCTCTTTCTCTACAACACATGAAGAATAAACAAAAAATGTAACATACAGATACTGGTTTGATTGGAATTTTACATACTACGAACACTTATTAACAGCCAATATGAAGTCCTAAAGTTTCAGCACCTCAAAGGGTTACAAGCTCACGGTTTTTTTCTAGATGCTGAGTAACATAGTATGAAACATTCTATCACGGTTTTTTTATTTGTGGTGAGATTGAGATCTGAAAACCATTTTGAAGCATACTGATACCGGTGCTACAATGTGGAGAAACAGTACCAATATCTAAGGTTCTATCTTAAGTTATATTTTTTGCCCCAAGGATCTGTCGTAAGTTTGAGCCTTGAGGGTACCAAAAGGAAACAAGGAAGCAAAGAATGCCCAAAATTTGTGTGAAAGCTTACCTTGGCTAGAGGGAGTCCAAGTAATGTACCAGTAAACATTTGTATCATCACAAGGGATGGCACCAGATCTAATACCATTCCCAAAGTACTGATTGAACTTGGGATCAACTCCATGACTGCTCTTGAAGGTAGCACAACCTCTAATAGCAGATCTACCTGTAAATGCCGGCTGCTTGAAGCCGAGCCATTTTGCCACCACGGAGTTCACTCCATCACACCCAACCAAGGCCTATACAATCACAACATTATTACTGTAAGTGACTAGAAAATTAAGTATTCCATCCAAAAAGAGATGATGTTATGTTATTGGTTTACACCCATCAAACAGATACTCTGCTTAAAAATGAAGTGAAGCTGTTCTAATGGCGTACATGTCGTAATAGCAAAAAGGTTTTGGTTCAATTGGGACAGTCTAGCAGGCCATGGCGGATCCGAGTGGCACCGACCTGTTATCCTTCCACTGCCAAGGGCGGGAGGTAGTCGTTGCTCTGTGAACCCAGCCTTACGCAGTGCCCTCCACTCTAGAAACCCAGTGACCCAGAGCCTTCGCTCAAGCCACAGGGTTCAACTCCTGGCTTGGAATGGGCGGGCCAGAAGATAGCCAACCCGAACCCGACCAGCTAATACTGGGACAATGTTCCAGCACCTCAAAGCCCCCACTCGGGTTACAAGCTCACGTTGCTGAGCTCGGCGATCCAACTTCCTCCTGTTAGGTTTATGAAGTGTGGTTTTTGATATCAACCGAGCGATGTGGGATAAGTTGCAAGAGCGAGTGCCTCTTTAGGATAAGATCTTGGCCTTCAGATAATGACTTGACTTTTGCAAGGGCTTTTTTTATATAGAAAAATAGAGATAAAAAGGAAAGATCAGTCTACCTTGGCTTTGAGGATGGTCCCGTCTGCGAGATGAACCAGCTTAAAGTAGCCCGATTCGTCAACGGAAACCACCTTGGATGAGAACCTGATGGTGCCACTGGGGAGTTCATTTGCAAGGCCTTCCAACAACAAGTTCCTTTTCACGCATCGAATTTCATGGTCTCCGCTGCACATTCTCAATCATTTGAGCATGCTTGAATATGGATACTAACAAAATCATTTAAATAGAATCTAGCAAACAATTGATTTCCAATATTAAGCATCAAGTAAGATACTTTTAGCACTTAAGCTATTGATAAACTTACTGCTTTCCTTTGGCCTTAAATGACATCTCAAACGTTTGAAGCCCTGTAATTCTTGAGGAAGTTACATTCCTGTACATTCAAATCTCTGCTATCAGTTTCGTGCGTGCAAAAGTAGAACTTAGCAAGTACCAACAAACATGTTAGGACTGATTTTGCGTAACTAACGGTTGAGATTGGCAATCTGACGACATAACATGTTAGGATAATTGAAGGGGCAAGAGAGAGTGATGCATGGAGAGAAAATTACCCATCAAGTGTGACATGTTGTTGGCGAAGAGAATCGGCAAGACCAAGGGCATCTAAGGCCTTCCATGCATTTGTCCATGTTGTCAATGCAAAACCTGTTGTCCTCAAACTATCAGATGATTCCAACACCAAGCTTCTAATCCCCAGCCTGCACCCAGAAATTTCAATTTTGATTCCGACCATAGTAACAAATATATGAACCATGAGCATTAACATGTGTGTATGAGAGAGAGAGAGAGAGAGAGAACCTGTGAAGTCCTAAGGATGTTGCAAGGCCAGAAATTCCAGCTCCCACAATCACAACATCTGCTTCTGCTTCCATGTTGTGCTTGATTATGCTCTGGAGACCCAGGCTTTTACTTCTTATTTGTGATGGGGATGTAAAGGACAGGCACAATTGAGCTGAAGATGACGATGAGGATGACGAATGATGATTGGCGGTCAATACCGACAGCAGCAGACAGTGTTTGGGTTTGCCTTACCTTCTCTTCTTCTTCTTGTGCTCAAAACAGATAAGCCCTCTGTTTTGACTGTGGAGGCAAATCAAAATAAACTGTGGGTTGTTTCAAGTTTAAACCCGTGAGATAATCATCGGTAACTTCTTATCTAGTTCAATTGTTTCTTATGATTGTATAATGGAGGAGGTGCATGATGACTTTTTTGAATCCAAAACAGTTGGGCATACTCTCTTGCAAATTTCTCAAGTTGTAAACAAATTAGGGAAAAAAAATCCAGTATAGCCGTCCGGCTATACTATTTTTAAAATATAAAAAATAAAAATGCGTATAGCCGATTGGCTATACTATTTTAAAAAAGAATAAAAATATCGAGTCTAGCCTTTCGGCTATACTATTTTTGACCCATCAACAAATTCCAAATGCTGAACAGAGCACGACATTCTTTCTTTTCACACAAAAAGGCCTGATCATAATTCAGTAAATACTCTCTCACATGAAAATTGGACCCAAAAGGCTAACCACCGAGCACCAACAGGCATTACCAGCTACACATTTTCTACATTTCCAACACTGCATATAATAATCCCATCTGCTTTCCGGGCAACTGCAAAGATGAAAATAATTTTTTTTAAATGAAATATATATAGTCACAAACATATAAAACACATAAGTACCATGAATGTTGCCTCAATCATCTTTCCGGCAAACCATCTTCCATGGAGAACATGCCGAGCATTTATCGCAGCTTGTGTGTTCTCGAATCGTAAGTACACATGACCAGCAGTATTCCTGCTCATTGACATGAATGTAAGTCAGACGTGCAAGAGACAAAGGACAACATAACTAATGTGAACAAACTTACTTGTCTACAAAGATATGCCTCAAATTCCCGTATTTTGAACACTCCTCCTGAACATCTTCTTTAATGTCCAAGTCAAAGTTTGGTTCCGTCTGCTCAAAAAGGAAGACAAATTATATAATATAACCATCAAGGGAATGAAGAAAATCTATCAGTATCAGAAGAATCCACCACCAACCTCAACTGCTGGATCAAACATATTTTTCAACGGTAAACATTCACTTGGAACACCAATTGTATCTATAGAAGGAAGAGTAGCAGTAGGAATTTGAAGACCAGCAACACCAAGTCCAGCGATACCAGGAACAGCGGTGATTTGAGGAACAAGAGGAGAAACCACTGGTGCAGCTCCCAGGAGTGGTGCCGTTGGTAGTTCCATTGGTAAAGAAACACCGGTGCAATTGACAGCGGGACCAGCAATACTGCATACAAAGCCAATGTAAGACCAACTAAAACAATTCAAAATAAAATAAAATGCTCAGAAAATACCAACCCCGATCCAGAGCCACTGCGATCCAATTTCTGCATGAGAATTGCCCGAGAACGGGCATTCAATGACTGTAAGATTAATAAAACAAAACGTCAATCACCTTCACTCAGGTCAACAAAAAAAAATGCAGTGCAGACACTCTTTCTATGCCAAACTATCACCCTTGGCTTTGCAGTGCTGATGTCTGCAATGCCTTGAGAGACAATGCATATCTTACTAGTTAAAGCAAAAGGGAGGGATAAGTGCCGAAACCAGTAAAATGATTACAAAATTCATGGATGCTACGTTATTTTGAATTATCAAGCTCAACTTCAATAATCTGCTAGCAAAAAAAAAAATCTTAAATAGGCAATCTTTCCAATATCAAAGGTTAAAAAGCTGGCAGGAGTGCAAGAGATGGTAGTTCAAATTATTTTTTGACCTTATTTTTCTACTAGGAGAATGAATAAGAGAACAATAAATACAAAAGATACTAAATAAGAGAACAATAAACACAAAAGATACTAAGCCAATCGAACCAACTATAGATACCATAAGCATCAAGCAGCAAAAAATCTTAAAAGCAATGATGGAGCAGCAGCAGCTTCCATACATTCAACAATTATTCCCAGATATTACTCAGCCAGAGCAAACAGTTCTTAGCAATCATATCAGTCCACAAATTCTTTGTGTTAATAGAAAATAAAAACATAAAAGGAAAGATCTTACTAACCAAGCCACCACCTTCATCGTCATCAAAATCACCAGCATTTGCTCCAAGATCTTGCATTCCGGCTTGGTCTGTAACAGCTGACACCTAAATAGAAAAATAATCTGTTCTTCTATGGACCTGACTTGTGCTTCACTGCTTCGGCTTCCCAATCTCAAGCTCAAATTTGCAGCTAAATTTTTTCAATTTCGGGTTTCAGACTTTCAGTCAATCGCAGTGTTTGAAAAATCGGCCTAGGCGAGCGGCTAGGCGGATGCTAGGCGGGCGCTAGGTGGTCGCTAGGAGGTCGCTAGGAGGCTAGGCGGTCGCTTGGCGGGCGCTAGGCGGCTAGGATGTCGCTAGGCGGGCGCTAGGCGGCTAGGATGTCGCTAGGCGGGCGCTAGGCGGCTAAGGGGTCGCTAGGCGGGCGCTAGGCGGCTAGGCGGCTAGGCGGGAGCTAGGCGGCTAGGAGGTCGCTAGGCAGGCAGCTAGGCTGTCACTGGGAGGGCACCTAGGCGGGTTGGGTCTATTTTCGGTGCCGAACCAGGAGGACGAAGCAGTGACTGCGAGTGCAAGTTCCGTCCTCTGCGAGTGCAAGCTACGTTCGAATATATTTAAAGCGTATAGCCGAACGGCTATACTTTTAAAATGTTCGAATGTATTCAGAAAGTATAGCCGACCGGCTATACGTTTAAAATATTAGAACATATTTGAAGAGTATATTTTAGAGCTATAAAAAAAAATATGAGAAGAAAGCTCCAACTGCACATCATATCTCATTGAAAAAAAAAAAACTGCTTTACTGTTAACTTAATTTTTTCCCCTGGCCTTAAATGTACATTTCAAACATTGGAAGCACAGAAATCGCTGAGGAAGTCACATTCCTGTATTCAAAATCTGCTATCAGTTTCACGTGTGCATGTAAAGCAAGTAACTACTAGCTGAAAAAATATACATATATATATACACACACAGCAATTGTCCAGAAATTTATCAAGCAAAAGGGGTATATCTAACTCAGTTTATTTTTTTGCTGTGTTGTCAAAGTGTTCAAACATTGAAACATAATTTGACACAATAACATGTCAAATTGTCCAAAATGGTGACATAATAATGTACCATGAAGTGTCTCATGTTGTCGGCGAAGAGTATCGCCAATACCAAGGGCATCTAATGCCTTCCATGCATTTGTCCATGCTGAGAATGCAAACCCTGTTGTCCTCAAACTATCCGATGATTCCAACACTAAGCTTCGGATATGCCAAGCCTGCAGCCAAAAGAATTTGAATTTTGCTTGCTGCTTAGAGTCATAGTGAACTACATACAATCATAACTTGTTTTAGCAGTCCTAAAACACACAGACTTGCACAGATGAGAGAGAGAGAGAGAGAGAGAGAGAGAGAGAGAGAACCTATGAAGTCCTAAGGATGTTGCAAGGCCAGCAATTCCAGCTCCTACAATCACAACTTGTGCTTCTGCTTCTACTTCCATGAATGATATTTGAGGCTTTTACTTTGGTTTTAGTGGAAACAGACTCGCAGAACAAAGATATAGACATAGAAGGACGAGATGGGTATTTATATTATATTTTGCAGCGGCAATTGGATAGTGCTACAGTGGGAGTACAATTTCTTATCTATTATTGAAGCACTAAACCCCAATAATGCCACCAGATGCATGCTTTGTACTGTTTATTTAGCAGCCATGTTTTCTTTTTAGCAGCTATCTTTGAGCACTAGGAAAGTGTAATATTGTTTGTTGGTTTCATCGTTATAAGCCATCTTACACCAACTAACTCTTAATCTAATGGCGTTTCTCTTTTCAACGTTAAAAGATGTCAAGTTCGAATCTTGTTTCCCCTGTTGTTAATAAAGATTAAAAAGAAATGTCCCCTTACAGAAACTGCATACAAATTACAAAATGACAAAAGAAAGTTCTTGCACTAATATGATTGACATATAAGGTTACACGCACATCACTATTATATATGCAGAGGAAGTATCATTATTGCATTTAAGAGATGCTGAGATTCCCACAATCAAAATCTGACTTCTTCAACAACAAACCAGCAGGATTGGAGATAAAAATTTGTCCCTGAAGAAGTTCATAAATTTTCCATTACTCTCTTGTAAGAAACCAACCACTCTAGATGTACTAATCAGATCAAAGCTTCTCCATCTCCTCTCATTGGCATACTTGTTCAACCCCATCTCAATCCTCTCATACTCTTCCTTTCCTTCTTCACCCTCCTTATCTTTTCTTTCTCCCCTGAGTTCTTCAACAAGGCCTCACCAAGACACCTTGCCAATACAACACTGTCTTCTAATGCACAGCAGCCGCCTTGGCCAATGTCTGGGGTCATGGGGTGGAGCGCGTCCCCTGAGACACAAGCATTGCCTTTGCTGATGTTTCCCCAAAGAAGCTCCCAAGGATGTCTATATCTCAATGGAGAGGATATAAAAGCATCCAATTTGGTGTTTTCTACCACAGGTTTTACTTTATCAGGTATCTTTCCGAGCTTGCTTAATATATATTGCTTCAGTTGAGCTGGGTTCTCTTCTCGCTCTTTCTCTACAAGACATGAAGAATAAACAAAAAATGTAACATACAGATACTGGTTTGATTGGAATTTTACATACTACGAACACTTATTAACAGCCAATATGAAGTCCTAAAGTTTCTGAATTGAAAAGGAAAAAATATATTTTCTAGATGCTGAGTAACATAGTATGAAACATTCTATCACGGTTTTTTTATTTGTGGTGAGATTGAGATCTGAAAACCATTTTGAAGCATACCGATACCAGTGCTACAATGCGGCGAAACAGTACCAATATCTAAGGTTCTATCTTAAGTTATATTTTTTGCCTCAAGGATCTGTCGTAAGTTTGAGCCTTGAGGGTACCCAAAGGAAACATGGAAGCAAAGTGTCAGATTTAGGAGGGGGAAAAAAAGTGATTTTATTAGATTTGAGGAGAATAGTACATGGCTTTATGGTGTAGGCTAATTGGCCTTGTACACTTAACATATTGGCTTATTGGGCACACACTTGGTTTAGATTAGTTTGGGCTATTTGGCCCTCACACTTTGATTTGTGAGCTTATTGGCTCCTCAACATAGTTTATTGGCTTAAGTGCTACAGTGCCCCCTGGAACATTGGTCAATTCTCACTTTACCCCCTCAAAGTTAAAGTGACCCACTTTGCCCCCTTGACCAATGTTTCGTGTTTCACTTAACCACTTTCCGTCTACGCCATTCCAAATTCCGTTAAACCAATGACGTGGCAGGGGTAGTTTGGTCCATTCAACTGAGCTAGGATTTTTCCCACCAATCTGAGGGTGTGACGTGTACATTTTGAGGCCACCTCTAACATCTGATATAGCTCCAACGGATTGATTGCCTGCTGATGTGGAATTTGGGGACCCATCTAACAAAACAGCCACGACAATCAGTGTTAGAACTCAAAAATGAAAACATAAAATTAGATTGTGAGGGAAAATTGAGATTTGGGGATTATAGATCTAGGGTTTGAGAATAAGGATCGAGAAAGGGAGAGCGCTCTCAGTTGGTTTCGACAACTACTTGAAGGCAAGAAGAAGCGACGCGACTGACCCGACTCGACGACGATGCCCGTTTGGCAAGAAGCAGGAGCAGGGCAACCTGTGTATGGTAAGTGATTCTTCTGAAAAGGGACATGTTTTCTGAAAAGGAATCTTGTCCTTTGACGTGGAAAAGAATCTTGACATGATAGTGATATGCATTGTGTAGAAATTGATACGGTTTAGGTCTTTTGTGTTATGTGTTGTCGGCAAAGAGGGTTCTAAAGCATTATACCTTTCCTGATGTGGTCCCGTTTTTGTTTTCTTCTAGTTATGTTTGAATATGTTAATCGAACCATGCTTGTTTTCTTGCTTTTAATAAGTGTCTTAGAATACTATTTAGCTTTTGTTAAAAACAAACCCTTTTTGTTTCTGTGTAGAGGACAAAGAATTGGTAACTTTTGAAGTGCATCATGGTGGCAGAATTGTGAAAAAAACAGAATAAGTGGTTTTATACTGGTGGGTCTGTAGGATATTTGGATTGGTGTACTGTAGAGTATATAAATATGTTAGAGATGTGGGAGCAAGTGAAACTGCATGGGCACATGGGGAAAGTATATCTTAAAGGAGTAGTAAATGAGGAGTTACTGGATATAGACAGGGATGCTGATCTGTTAAGTTTGTGTGATAAGGTACCCCTTTCTTATAAGAGAGTGGTGCTGATTTATGTACAACACATTGAAGAGGAAGGTGTTGCAGTGAATGAGGATTGTGAAGAGGTAGCTGTGGCATTGAATGAGGATAGTGAGAATATTGGGCCTGGGTAGTGATGAAAATAGGGCTTCTACTGAAGGCAGTGGGCCACTGAACAATGAAAAAGAGGGCCGGCCTTTTTACTGAGCATCATGGGCCTGCTTGCAGAGTTGAAGACTGGGTTTCAAGTGATGATGATGGGCCCCTGAACAATGAGGGTAGTAGGGCTGATATAGGTGACACTGATGTGGAAGACAGTGAAGATAGTGAAGAAGAAGACAAGGAAGAGGACCCTGATTTTGTTGACAGTGCTTATGAGCAGAGTGAAAATGAATGTGAGTTGTTGAGAAAGGACGATAAAACATTTGAAAATTATAGACTAGCCAGAAGTAGTTGAAGACCCAAATCCCATGTAGATGAAGATCGGGTCAACTGATGTAGCTAAAAGTGATGTTGAGAGCTTGGTGATAGGGTGAGGGCAGTGTGTGCAGGAAATGTAAATGGGTTTTGTTTTGCTTCAGCAGTTAATGGTAGTGACTGGGTTCAAGTGAAGAAATTGGTTGATGAGCATGATTGTGGGACAGTTGATCACAACTTTCATGCTAACTCAACATGGTTAGCTCACAGATAGCTACTCAACTGTCTAGAAAGCTAATTGGGATAGGGGAACTTTGACGCAGCAGGTACGAGAAGATTTGTCTGTGAGAGCTTTTAAATCCCAACTATATAGGGCAAGGCAAAAGGCAACATCCTATCTGAGGACTTATGAAAAACAAAATGATGAATTATTATGGATTATGCTGCTGAACTAAGAGGAAATGTGGGTAGCACAGTCAGTATGAAATGGTTGGAAGGTGAAGACCAAGGTTTCAAAGGATTTACATTTGTTTGGCTGCACAGTTAAACAAGGGTTTTGACGGGATGTAGGCCAGTTATATAGGATTTGATGCTTGTCATATAAAAGGTCATCACCTGGACAATGTTAATCTGCTGTTGGTGTGGATCCTAACAATGACAGGATCTCATTGCGTATGCGGTGGTGAGGTGGAGGAATATGAAAATGGTCATGGTTGTCACAAAGATATGCCTCAAATTCCCGTATTTGATCAACTCCTCGGAACATCTTCTTTATGTCCAAGTCAAAGTTTGGTTCCGTTGCTCAAAAGGGAAGACAAATTATATAATATAACCACCCAGGAAATGAAGAGAAAATCTCTCAGTATCAGAAGAATCCACCACCAACCTCAACTGCTGGATCAACATAATTTTCAACAGTAAACATTCGCTTGGAACACCAATTGTATCTATAGAAGGAAAAGGTAGGTAGAGTAGGAATTTGAAGACCAGCAAACACCAAGTCCGGCGATACCAGGAACAGCGGGTGATGGGAGGAACAAGAGGGAGAACCATGGTGCAGCTCCCAGGAGTGGTGTGTGTTGGTAGTGCATTGGTAAAGAACCAACGGTGCTATGGACAGGGGAGGGAGTGCCTAGGGGACCGCAATACTGCATACAAAGCCAATGTAAGACCAACTAAAACAATTCAAAATGAGAATAAAGTGCTAGAAAATACCCAACCTGATCCCAGAGCCACTGCGATACAATTTCTGCATGCGATTTTGCCGAGAGCGGGGCATTCAATGACTAAGATTAATAAAACAATACGTCAATCACCTTCACTCAGGTCAACTACAAAAAATTAGCAGTGCAGACACTCTTCTATGCCAAACTATCACCTCGGCTTGCAGTGCTGATGTCTGCAATGCCTTGAGAGGACAATGCATATCTTACTAGTTAAAGCAAAAGGGAGGGATAAGTGCCGAAACCAGTAAAGATTACAAAATTCATGGATGCTAGGTTATTTTGAATTATCCAGCTCAACTTCAATAATCTGCTAGCAAAAACAACCTTGAATGACCAATCTTTCCAATATCAAAGGTTAAAAAGCTGGCAGGAGTGCAAGAGATGGTAGTTCAAATTATTTTTTGACCTTATTTTTCTCCTAGGAGAATGAACTCTAATCATTTAAGAAGTAAGAAATATATATCCACTCAAATAAATAAGAGAACAATAAACACAAAAGATATTAAGCCAATCGAACCAAACTATAGATACCATAAGCATCAAGCAGCAAAAACGCTTAAAAGCAATGGAGCAGCAGCAGCTTCCATACATTCAACAATTATTCCCAGATATTACTGAGCCAGAGCAAACAGTTCTTAGCAATCATATCAGTCCACAAATTCTTTGTGTTAATAGAAAATAAAAACATAAAAGGAAAGATCTTACTAACCAAGCACCACCTTCATCGTCATCAAAATCACCAGCATTTGCTCCAAGATCTTGCATTCCAGCTTGGTCTGTAACAATATAGTAAAGTGCCATTACCTTAATTAGTCGACCTGCAAACTCCAATTTCCATTCAAACTCAGTGCATTTCTAGCATCTTCAAGACGTGAGAACTGCAAGTAACTGATTCAATGAGTTTGATTTATTCAATACAATTACAAGGAATCATATCCAGCATCTGATAAGAACAACTGCAATGGAATTGAACTAAAAGGAAGGGTAAAAAAAACATTGCCAACCCAACTTGATTTCATTGGCCTTTCAGGTTTTAAAATATTGTAACCTGAAATTGTATGATGGGTTGACCCTTAACCCAACCCATGCCCGCACCCTAGCTAAGGATTTGGCAGTTGGAAGTTTTTGGTGCCCACTCTTCTCAGTTTGAGTTGGGAAGAAACTTGAAAGACAATACACTAGATTCTTATTAAATTCTGGTGCAGTAGAAGACCCCAATCAAGAAAAGGTGTGCATTTGTTTAGAGTCAATTTCAAATTCCAACTCCAGCTACAACGAACCGGCAGTTGACAGTTTCTTTTTCTTTCCTTTAATAATTTCCCCTACATGGATTTGGACTTGAAAATAAATATAATAAATAACAGAACTGAAGGATGCCAACAGTCTTTGAAGTTTTAATTAAACCATTTTATGGATTGCTTGTTGGTTGACCTTTGGCTTAATATAACTAGCTGCATGCAAACATTTATATATTTATTCTATATCCAGGCTTCTTAAGTTGAAAGTTGTAGTCAAACAGACCTGCACAAATCCAAAACCTTTGCAGTTGTTAGTTTCGTCAACAGGTAACTGAACCAGTTCTACAGGACCAAATGCTCCAAAAACCTGCATATATATATATATATATATCACATATTAAAGGGTGAAAGTCAAAATGCAAAAAATATTCACAATTACAAAGACGAAATTAGGAAACTGTGAACAGAAGTGCTCAAAAGCAACCAAAAAAAAATTACATAACCAACAGCAAGCTTGATTATGTACATTATCTGATGCCAACATTAGAACTGTGTCAGAAAAGTACTCACCTGGCGGAGATCGTCTTCTTTTATATTGGTATGGAGATTTCCAACATACAGCCTTCTAGCTCCGCCAGAATATGGGCCTATCATCCCACCTGGTCCGCTAACCACAGATGTTGATTGAACCAGATTCTTCTCAGCCTCTGATGGCTTCACCATCACTGGTTGACCAAGAAGAGGCTGACCAGAAAGTGCAATCGCCATAGGTACCGACATTGCATCATAAAACTCAATATACCTACAAACTAGAGAACATTAGACTCTTGGATAATCAAAAACCAATTGCCACATACAGATGCATATAATAGCAAAGTTTACTGGAGTCTCCACTCATAGTTCAAAACGGGGAAAGAAAAATGTCCTATATGATATATCTGATCATCTTGACCAACTAGAATAACCTATAGTATATACTATATGTACTGCTTTTAGTACAAAGGCGATCAATATCATCGAAAACTTTCTAAGATGATGGTGCAAATTTTGAACATTGTAAATGATGTGATGATTCTTCGTACTGCACAAGAAAACGTTGGAACAAGGAAGATGCAGCCATCAAGAAGGAAGCAGGAACTGCCAACCATTCCAAAAATGACCAAGCGACATTAAAAGGATAGTCTTATTTGAACCTTAGAATGAAATCTTTGGCTTCTTGTCAACACAACCACATAAACTTTTTTCATTAACAACCGGATAATTTAAGACTCTCACATCATCTTAAACGCTACCATTGCATAATGGGTAATTGTTAAAGTGAACCTTCTGTTAACAACCATCCAAAGCTTTTGTCACCAAGACATAAGAAAAACTTACCCAACTCCCTTAGAACGTCTTGAATTGCAATCCATAATGAGGCGTACATCGCGGACCTAAAAATACACAATTCAGAGCTATTAGATAGACAATCATAGAAATATACTTACAATTACATCCACAGAAGCACTTAATGGAAAAACGTTATGGGTTTCCAGTATTTGGTTTAGTTGAAGCACTGCATCAGATAGTGTTAGGGTGCCCTTGAGAGCAGAAGGTGAAAATATAATGCATTTAGCTAAATAGTTTAAGATATTTATCCACCATCCTCTATGATTTGTTAAATGAACATGAGATAAATAAACGAGAAATGTACAAACCTTGCCAGCCCTTGAGAATAACTCGTATACATCTCTTTCATCTGCCTTCAGACAAAATCTGTCAAAGTTGTTCACCAAATCTTAATAGTTAGATATGGGAATGTGAAAGATAGAAAGTTCAAGATAACACCATAGAATGCATGCACCAACATATTTGCTCTTCTATGGACCTGACTTGTGCTTCACTGCTTCAGCTTCCCAATCTCAAGCTCAAATTTGCAGCTAAATTTTTTCAATTTCGGGTTTCAGACTTTCAGTCAATCGCAGTGTTTGAAAAAACGGCCTAGGGGGCGGCTAGGCAGTGCTATGCGGGCTAGGCGGCTAGGATGTCGCTAGGCGGCGCTAGGCGGCTAGGCGGTCGCTAGGCGGGAGCTAGGCGGCGAGAGCCGTAGGCTACTCGCATGTCGCTAGGCGCGGGCGCTAGGCGGTCGTTAGGCGGTCACTAGGCGGTCGCTAGGCGGGCTAGCAGGCGCTAGGCGCTAGGCGGTCGCTAGGCGGCTAGGCGGGCGCTAGGCGGCTAGGCGGCTAGGAGCGGCTAGGCGCTAGGCTGCTAGGCGGTGGAACTAGGCGGTAGGCGTAAACGGTGGCTAGGCGGGGGTAGGCATCTAAGCGAGCGCCTAGGCGGGTTGGGTCTTTTCGTTGGCGAACTCGGAGGACGAAGCAGTGACCGCAAGTGCAAGTTCGTCCTCTGCGATGTGCAAGCTTCGGGTGTCGTAAAGAATATATTAAAGCGTATAGCCGCGCGGCCTATACTTTTAAAGATCGAATGTATTGCGAAAGTATTCGAGACGGGATAACGTTTCAACATTATTCGACCATATCTAAGAGTATAGCCGATCGGCTATACTCTTAAATATTCAATTTGTCATATTATTTTGAGGGTTAGGGCTAAATACAAAAAACATGAGAAGAGAAGGATCAACTCACAGCATACCTCATGAAAAATCAAAAAATTACTGTCCAACAAACAAATTACCGTGACAAGAAGATGAACTAGGCATGCACCGATGATGCTCCCTTTAGAAGGTATAAGGTGTTCTGGTAATACGTTTATAAAAATCGGAAGCAAAGTTTTTTCACATATAAATCATATCACCTGATACAATATCGATGGATAATGACAAGTATATATAAAGCAGGCCTGTTGTGATGTGTATTCGCGTGTCGCACATCAAACATGCATCTAAATGACTGGCATGAAAAGTGAAAATAAGGTAAGAGAGTAGACATACTCAAGAAAAAAAGAGAAAAAAAAAAAAAAAAAAAAAAAAAAAAAAAAAAAAAAAAAAAAAAAAAAAAAAAAAAAAAAAAAAAAAAAAAAAAAAAAAAAAAAAAAAAAAAAAAAAAAAAAAAAAAAAAAAAAAAAAAAAAAAAAAAAAAAAAAAAAAAAAAAAAAAAAAAAAAAAAAAAAAAAAAAAAAAAAAAAAAAAAAAAAAAAAAAAAAAAAAAAAAAAAAAAAAAAAAAAAAAAAAAAAAAAAAAAAAAAAAAAAAAAAAAAAAAAAAAAAAAAAAAAAAAAAAAAAAAAAAAAAAAAAAAAAAAAAAAAAAAAAAAAAAAAAAAAAAAAAAAAAAAAAAAAAAAAAAAAAAAAAAAAAAAAAAAAAAAAAAAAAAAAAAAAAAAAAAAAAAAAAAAAAAACAAATTCTTTGTGTTAATAGAAATAAAAACATAAAAGGAAAGATCTTACTAACCAAGTCACCACCTTCATCGTCATCAAAAATCACCAGCATTTGCTCCAAGATCTTGCATTCCAGCTTGGTCTGTAACAATATAGTAAAGTGCCATTACCTTAATTAGTCGACCTGCAAACTCCAATTTTCCATTCAAACTCGGTGCATTTCTAGCATCTTCAAGACGTGAGAACTGCAAGTAACTGATTCAATGAGTTTGATTTATTCAATACAATTACAAGGAATCATATCCAGCATCTGATAAGAACAACTGGAATGGAATTGAACTAAAAGGAAGGGTAAAAAAAACATTGCCAACCCAACTTGATTTCACTGGCCTTTCAGGTTTTAAAATATTGTAACCTGAAATTGTATGATGGGTTGACCCTTAACCCAACCCATGCCCGCACCTAGCTAAGGATTTGGCAGTTGGAAGTTTTGGTGCCCACTCTTCTCAGTTTGAGTTGGGAAGAAACTTGAAAGACAATACACTAGATTCTTTTTAAATTCTGGTGCAGTAGAAGACCCAATCAAGAAAAGGTGTGCATTTGTTTAGAGTCAATTTCAAATTCCAACTCAAGCTACAACGAACCGGCAGTTGACAGTCTTCTTTTTCTTTCCTTTAATAAATTTCCCCTCCATGGATTTGGACTTGAAAATAAATATAAACAAATAACAGAACTGAAGGATGCCAACAGTCTTTGAAGTTTTAATTAAACCATTTTATGGATTGCTTGTTGGTTGACCTTTGGCTTAATATAACTAGCTGCATGCAAACATTTATATATTTATTCTATATCCAGGCTGCTTAAGTTGAAAGTTGTAGTCAAACAGACCTGCACAAATCCAAAACCTTTGCAGTTGTTAGTTTCGTCAACAGGTAACTGAACCAGTTCTACAGGACCAAATGCTCCAAAAACCTGCATATATATATATATATCACATATTAAAGGGTGAAAGTCAAAATGCAAAAAATATTCACAATTACAAAGACGAAATTAGGAAACTGTGAACAGAAGTGCTCAAAAGCAACAACAACAAAAAAATTACATAACCAACAGCAAGCTTGATTATGTACATTATCTGATGCCAACATTAGAACTGTGTCAGAAAAGTACTCACCTGGCGGAGATCGTCTTCTTTTATATTGGTATGGAGATTTCCAACATACAGCCTTCTAGCTCCGCCAGAATATGGGCCTATCATCCCACCTGGTCCGCTAACCACAGATGTTGATTGAACCAGATTCTTCTCAGCCTCTGATGGCTTCACCATCACTGGTTGACCAAGAAGAGGCTGACCAGAAAGTGCAATCGCCATAGGTACCGACATTGCATCATAAAACTCAATATACCTACAAACTAGAGAACATTAGACTCTTGGATAATCAAAAACCAATTGCCACATACAGATGCATATAATAGCAAAGTTTACTGGAGTCTCCACTCATAGTTCAAAACGGGGAAAGAAAAATGTCCTATATGATATATCTGATCATCTTGACCAACTAGAATAACCTATAGTATATACTATATGTACTGCTTTTAGTACAAAGGCGATCAATATCATCGAAAACTTTCTAAGATGATGGTGCAAATTTTGAACATTGTAAATGATGTGATGATTCTTCGTACTGCACAAGAAAACGTTGGAACAAGGAAGATGCAGCCATCAAGAAGGAAGCAGGAACTGCCAACCATTCCAAAAATGACCAAGCGACATTAAAAGGATAGTCTTATTTGAACCTTAGAATGAAATCTTTGGCTTCTTGTCAACACAACCACATAAACTTTTTTCATTAACAACCGGATAATTTAAGACTCTCACATCATCTTAAACGCTACCATTGCATAATGGGTAATTGTTAAAGTGAACCTTCTGTTAACAACCATCCAAAGCTTTTGTCACCAAGACATAAGAAAAACTTACCCAACTCCCTTAGAACGTCTTGAATTGCAATCCATAATGAGGCGTACATCGCGGACCTAAAAATACACAATTCAGAGCTATTAGATAGACAATCATAGAAATATACTTACAATTACATCCACAGAAGCACTTAATGGAAAACGTTATGGGTTTCCAGTATTTGGTTTAGTTGAAGCACTGCATCAGATAGTGTTAGGGTGCCCTTGAGAGCAGAAGGTGAAAATATAATGCATTTATATCAAGAAGTCCCTTTTAGCTAAATAGTTTAAGATATTTATCCACCATCCTCTATGATTTGTTAAAGGAACATGAGATAAATAAACGAGAAATGTACAAACCTTGCCAGCCCTTGAGAAGAACTCGTATACATCTCTTTCATCTGCCTTCAGACAAATCTGTCAAAGTTGTTCACCAAATCTTAATAGTTAAGATATGAGAATGTGAAAGATAGAAAGTTCAAGATAACACCATAGAATGCATGCACCAACATATTTGCTCTTCTATGGACCTGACTTGTGCTTCACTGCTTCAGCTTCCCAATCTCAAGCTCAAATTTGCAGCTAAATTTTTTCAATTTCGGGTTTCAGACTTTCAGTCAATCGCAGTGTTTGAAAAAATCGGCCTAGGCGGGCGGCTAGGCAGTCGCTATGCGGGCGCTAGGCGGCTAGGATGTCGCTAGGCGGGCGCTAGGCGGCCAGGAGGTCGCTAGGCGGGCTCTAGGCGGTCGCTAGGGTGCTAGGGGGGCGCTAGGCTGTCGCTAGGCTACTAGGATGTCGTTAGGCGGGCGCTAGGCGCTAGGCGGTCGCTAGGCGGGCGCTAGGCGGCTAGGCGGCTAGGCGGGCGCTAGGCTGCTAGGCGGTGACTAGGCGAGCGCTAAGCGGTGGCTAGGCGGTGGCTAGGCATCTAGGCGAGCGCTAGGCGGGTTGGGTCTTTTTTCGTTGCCGAACTCGGAGGACGAAGCAGTGACCGCGAGTGCAAGTTCATCCTCTGCGAGCTTCGTGTTCGTAAAGAATATATTTAAAGCGTATAGCCGCGCGGCTATACTTTCAAAATATTCCAATGTATTGCGAAAGTATAGCCGAACGGCTATACGTTTAAATATCATTCGGTATTAGGGCTAAATACAAAAAACATGAGAAGAAAGGCTCAACTCCACATCATACTCATTGAAAAATCAACAAATTACTGTCCAACAACTTAAATTACCGTGACAAGAAGATGAACTAGGTATGCACAATGTTGGAGGTGATAGCTCCCTTTAGAAGGTATAAGGTAGTTCTTTGTTAATAAGTTATAAAAATATGGAATGCAAAGTTTTTCACCCATATAAAATCATATTCACCTTGATACAATCATATCGATGGATAATGCCAAGTATATTAAGCAGCTGCCTTTTGTACTTGTGTATTCGCTTTGTCTGCACATCAAACATTGCATCTAAACTGACCTGCAGTTGAAAGTGATAAATTTCAGTGTAATCTATTAGACATACCTTCAAGACAAAAGAGAAAAGATGAACAGGATAGAAGTTCTAAGAACTTGTTACCAAACCTTCACACCACTCATTGCTTCAATGTACTCAGCGAGCCTCATTTTGTTAACCTTCTTAACCTACAACATGAGCATATATACAAAGATTTAAATACAAAAGAAGCCAAAAGCTTAATATATTTTGGTTCCTAAGCAGATATCAAACCTAGTGGGTACCATCATCCATTCTTGTTGAAGGTCAGGATCTGCTGCATATGCTTGCAAGCCAGTTGCAAGCAATGTCCCATGCTTTATTCCAACCCAAATGCTCTTCATCAACAAGCACTCTCATGACCTCAGCTGTTTTTTAGAGATGGGTGAGTATCACTGAGCTGCAGAGCACCCTAATTAAGACAGGAAAATTGAGCCGAGGAAAAAGGAAAAACAGAAAAGCATACCTGAATGACTGTCAGAGGAAAGTAATAAATATAAGTTCATTGTAGCTAAACAAGCTGCCAGATTGGGTATTCCCTAGAAATCAACATATGATAAAACACATACTATTAAGACTTACACCTCATCAAAGTTACCGTGAGCCCCTTCTCTTCTTCTTCTTGTGCTCAAAACAGATAAGCTGTCTGTTTTGACAGTGGTTGTGGAGGCAAATCAAAATAAACTGTGGGTTGTTTCAAGTTTAAACCCACAAGATAATCATCGGGAACTTCTTCTCTAGTTCAATTTTTTTCTTATGATTGTATAATGGAGGAGGTGCATGATCACTTTTTTGGAGGACGGAAGTATTTACAACTTATAGTGTGAGCTCTTGCAAAATAATGAACAACACAAAACTTTTTTTATCTTATCAGAAACAATTTGGCATACTCTCTTGCAAAATAGTCCCAGCATCCAAAGTACTTTTTCTCAAGTTACAGAGTATAGTCGCTCGGCTTTAAAACAAATTAGAAAGGAAAAAAAACTCAGTATCGCCGCGCTATACTATAAAAAAGGAATAAAAATCGAGTCTAGCCAGGCTCTACTATTTTTGACCCATCAACAAATTCCAAATGCTGAACTGAGAATGACTTCTTCCTTCTCGCACAAAAAGCCCTGATGATAATTCATTAAATACTCTCTCACATGAAAATTGGACCCAAAAGGCTAACCACCAACAGGCATTACCAGCTACATTTTCTACATTACCAACACTGCATATAATAATCCTATCTGCTTTCCATGAATTTAGCCTCATAGTTCTGGGGCAACTGCAAAGATGAAAATATATTTTTTTAAACGAGATGTTCCAAAATGAAAAATATATATAGTCACAATCACAAACATATGTAAGTACCATGAACGTTGCCTCAATCATATTTCCGGCAAACCATCTTCCATGGAGAACATGCTGAGCATTTATCGCAGCTTGTGTGTTCTCGAATCGTAAGTACACATGACCAGCGGTATTCCTGCTCATTGACATGAATGTAAGTCAGACATGTGCAAGAGACAAAGGACAACATAACTAATGCGAACAAACTTACTTGTCTACAAGGATATGCCTCAAATTCCCATATTTGAACACTCCTCCTGAACATCTTCTTTAATGTCCAAGTCAAAGTTTGGTTCCGTCTGCTCAAAAAGGAAGACAAATTATATAATATAACCACCAAGGGAATGAAGAAAATCTCTCAGTATCAGAAGAATCCACCACCAACCTCAACTGCTGGATCAAACATATTTTTCAACAGTAAACATTCGCTTGGAACACCAATTGTATCTATAGAAGGAAGAGTAGCAGTAGGAATTTGAAGACCAGCAACACCAAGTTCAGAACCCTTAATTTACAAAGTAGCCAATCACAAAATCGGCCTAGGCCGGCGGCTAGGAGGTCGATAGGCGGGCACAAGGCGACTAAGCGGTCGCTAGGCGGGCACAAGGCGACTAAGCGGTCGCTAGGCTGCTAGGCGGTAGCTAGGCGGGCCCTAGGCGGCTAGGCGGTAGCTAGATGGGCCCTAGGCGGCTAGGCGGTAGCTAGGCGGGACCTAGGCGGCTAGGCGGTAGCTAGGCGGGCCCTAGGCGGCTAGGAGGTGGCTAGGCGGGCGCCTAGGCGGGTTGGGTCTTTTTTCGTTGCCGGACCCGGAGGACGAAGCAGCCGAAACCAAAGAAAACAAATCGAAGCTTGACGGCGAGTGCAAGTTCCGTCATCTGCAAGTGCAAGCTTCATGTTCGTCTTGAATATATTTAAACAGTATAGCCGAACGGCTATACCTCTAAAATATTCAAATGTATTTAGAAGGTATAGCCGAACGGCTATACGTTTAAAATATTTGAACATATTCGAAGAGTATAGCCGTTCGGCGGTACGCTTTAAATATACAATTTTGTCATATTAGGGTTTAAGGCGAAAATACAAAATACATGAGAAGAAAACTCCAACTGCACATCATTTCTCATTGAAAAATCAACAAATTATGTGTCCAACAACTTAAATTACTGTGACAAGAAGATGAACTAAGTATGCACAATGTTGGAGGATGGTGATAGCTCCCTTTAGAAGGTATAAGGTAGTTCTTTGTTAATAAGTTATAAAAATATGGAATGCAAAGTTTTTCACCATATAAAATCAGATTCACCTCGATACAGTCATATCGATGGATAATGCCAAGTATATTGCTGCTTAGAGTCATAGTGAACTACATACTTACAATCATAACTTGTTTTAGCAGTACTAAAACACACACAGACATGCACAGATGAGAGAGAGAGAGAGAGAGAACCTATGAAGTCCTAAGGATGTTGCAAGGCCAGCAATTCCAGCTCCTACAATCACAACTTGTGCTTCTGCTTCTTCTTCCATGAATGATATTTGAGGCTTTTACTTTAGTTTTAGTGGAAAGACTCGCAGAACAAAGATATAGACATAGTAGGATGAGATGGGTATTTATATTATATTCTGCAGCGGCAATTGGATAGTGCTATAGTGGGAGTACAATTTAGATGTGGGTATTTATACCATGAATGTTGCCTCAATCATCTTTCCGGCAAACCATCTTCCACGGAGAACATGCCGAGTATTTATCGCTGCTTGTGTGTTCTCGAATCGTAAGTACACATGACCAGCAGTATTACTGCTCATTGACATGAATGTAAGTTAGACATGTGCAAGAGACAAAGGACAACATAACTAATGCGAACAAGCTTACTTGTCTACAAAGATATGCCTCAAATTCCCGTATTTTGAACACTCCTCCTGAACATCTTCTTTAATGTCCAAGTCAAAGTTTGGTTCCGTCTGCTCAAAAAGGAAGACAAATTATATAATATAACCATCAAGGGAATGAAGAAAATCTCTCAGTATCAGAAGAATCCACCACCAACCTCAACTGCTGGATCAAACATATTTTTCAACAGTAAACATTCGCTTGGAACACCAATTGTATCCATAGAAGGAAGAGTAGCAGTAGGAATTTGAAGACCAGCAACACCAAGTCCAGCGATACCAGGAACAGCGGTGATGGGAGGAACAAGAGGAGAAACCACTGGTGCAGCTCCCAGGAGTGGTGCCGTTGGTAGTTCCATTGGTAAAGAAACACCGGTGCTATTGACAGCGGGACCAGCAATACTGCATACAAAGCCAATGTAAGACCAACTAAAACAATTCAAAATAGAATAAAATGCTCAGAAAATACCAACCCTGATCCAGAGCCACTGCGATCCAATTTCTGCGTGAGAATTGCCCGAGAACGGGCATTCAATGACTGTAAGATTAATAAAACAAAACGTCAATCACCTTCACTCAGGTCAACAAAAAAAAATGCAGTGCAGACACTCTTTCTATGCCAAACTATCACCCTTGGCTTTGCAGTGCTGATGTCTGCAATGCCTTGAGAGACAATGCATATCTTACTAGTTAAAGCAAAAGGGAGGG